TGCGGCCATGATGTGTGGACTGGCGGCGTAAAGAGAGTGCGAAGTGAGTGTGCGTTGCAATGGTTATTGGGGCTCACAGCACATGCGGTCTTCAGCCAGAGTCACCTTTTTTTTTTTTTTTTGCGGTATAAGAAGCGAGCGGTTTTGAGTTTTGGACCATATGGTACTGCGGGCGATGGTATGAGACTGTGTTGGGACAACTCGGGACATTGAGACCGGTCTAAGCAGGGATCAGTTTGGGACATTGGAACCACGTGAAACTCGTGTGTGAGAATACCTTCCGTGAGGATTATCTCATCGAGTTCTTTCGGTGAACCTTGGTCTTGCTCATTTAAACACTTGGAGAGAGGAGGTCGACCAACTTTTATGGAGAGGTCACAACTTGTGGAGTTGTGAGTCATATATTTTCATATTCAACAGTGGTCATTTCTTTTGATTAAAATATTACTCAGACTTTCTTGAGTGAGCCAAATCAAAGTTCACTCAAGTTCAATCAACTGATTGACTTGGATTTCCCTTCACGCCTGTATGAAATTACACTTTGCTTGGCCCTGTTTGTTTTGGACGTTCAAAAGAAAAGGTAGAGGAAAGTTGTGCACGTCATACATGAGAATGGAAAGGTCTGACTTGAGTATGGGATTGTACCGGTTTTATCTTGAAGTTGTTGTCTTTGCGTGCTGTGCAGGAAGGTAGAAAAATGCTTGCAAAGGAGGTTGATTGTGTTTACACGAGATGAAAAAAAAAAATGTCTTTCTTTCTTCCTTTCACCTGCCTGCATGTAAAAAAACTTGAATTTTGAAGTGAATGATTTCAATGGGTACTAAAAAAAAAATAAAAAAAATCATGAATGTAATGAAGATGACGATAGTCAGACTTAGTCTTTTCCCGAGGAATGACAATTTCTATCCCGAATGACCTTATCTATTTGTATCGATCCAAATGATTCACATTCTCTATCTCCTTCTGGTTATTTTCGTTCAAGTTACCTTGAACTTAGGAGAAAAAAGAACTACGAAAACCTACTTGTAGTGAATATGTTCTCTCCAGGAAGCATCTGGGGCGGGGGTTCGTTGCTTCAGGAGTCGGCCCTGTTATCGACCCAGAGTGGACCGTTCTACGGGGGGGTACTCTGCCGATTCGGTGGAGACAGGCCGACTTCTAAGATTCGTGCCTTGTGCTCGGGCGAGGAGGAGGAGTACCCCAGACCACTTCCTAGAGGGAGAGACATGCACCACTTCAAGCAATGCACGTGATAAAAAATCATCCGCGAAGCAGCCTATCATCCAAAAAGATTAAAAATTTATGGAGACGAGTGTGAGCATGTCTAATCTAAGGTCGACAATAGGATGGAATAAATACCTTTGGTAGCGCGTCTCATCAAGTCAAAACTGAGGCAGTCCGACTACATTGTCGGTTGCATCAATGTTGTTATCAGTAGCTAACTCCGCATTGGCATTTGTATGATTGTTTTGTGGAGTTCGATCCATGGTGGTCAGATTTTATTTTGATTTTGTATTATTGGAAGTATCTAATGATGATTTTGATTCTTTTAGTTGTCATTTCAAATTAAATATTTATTTCTATCGACTACGGTCGATTTATTTTGATGTAATAATATGTGGTTATTATAATGTTTTTTAGACTGTGTGTCAAAAGGGACTAGGATTAATATTTGTGGTTTCACGCTCGGTTGAGACCGTCCTGGTTGACCAGCGTACGCTTCGTACTTAGAAGATCAGCGCTCTATGGAATGAACGACGTTCGAGTTCAATACCAAGTGTTTTAACCAAACGTATCTATATTACAGCGAACGAGAAAACACCCTCGGTTCATTTACCTCTGCGATTGCATCTAAAAGTTTTCGCACGTGGGTAAGTAGCTCGGTAGGGGTGGTGACAGCCCCTTAGGGAAAGTAAGTTGTGCCCCGCGGGAACCTATCCTTTCGTTGGGGAGCATGGGATATACAGTTGGCGCAACCGGTTAGAGCGGCGATGGAACGATACAACCTTGTCCGTCTCGACGGTTTGTGGGGTTATTTTGCGTCGTTCCCAAGTTGTCTTTTGCTTTGTTTATGTTTTACTCTTGCGTGACATGGTCGGGAGGGTTCCTGCGCTTTGCAAAAAGGCGGGAGTCGATGCACTCGACAACGTGTACCTGATGTATTTGAAGGACACTTCTATTTGAGAAAGTGGACCCACGTCCTTTTGCTTTGAAATGTTCAACTCGAGGACTGCGGCCTCCTTAGCCTCCTCAGTGCACCTACCGGTCCTCCGCAAGCAACAACTGCCTGTCGCTCATGAATTGCCCCCCCTAGCAAATTCACCACCCTTTGGACCCGGACCGACGACCGTTATGACCAAACGACAAAAATTTGATGCAGGGGTATAAATGCACCCCTGACAACTGCAAATTTGATTCAGGGGTATAACACACACCCGTTACGGGCTGCGAAAAATGCCACTCTTGTCCAAACACGGAGAGGGCAAACCCTAATCATGCAGGCTTTGACACTGATGAGGTTGTACGCATTTTTACTGTATGGTTGATTAAATGCATTGTCACGGAGGACCACACTTCACCGTCTGCGCATGTTATACCCACTTTTCCGATATAGGAGTAGTACCTAGGTATCTTGGTAACCCGCTATAAAAGTAGTACCTAGGTATCTTGGTATCGAAGTAATGGGCAAACAAAACCCCCCACATATGTATGTGCAAAGAAGACTTGGAGTGATTAGTGGTCTAGATTCGTGTGCACAAGGTCATGATCAATGAATTTGAGTGAAGAAGGACAAATTCAAAGGCTTAGTACAAATTCACAGCCTTAGTTTGGAGATTGAATAGAACTTTCATTGGATAGAGTTTTCTGGGTAAATGGGCACCGAGCAAGATTCATAAGCGAAACTGGTCGAGGCTGCCAGGGTAACTCTGGGTCGCATTGTGAGGTCCGCGACCTCAAATTCTTTCAATTGGAGACCATAACTGAAGAAATATATAAATATTGTCTACCGCGTGGGCGCGGGGAACACAACCCTAAGGTAGCCAAAGCAATGAGACTAAGAACGCACACGAGAGAGAGAGAGAGAGAGAGAGAGAGAGAGAGAGAGAGAGAGAGAGAGAGAG